CAGTGCATTTACATCGTAATACTTAAATAGGTTTCTCAATCAGTGCTACATCCACCAAGTACACCTGTTGCACGCTAGTGTGATTAAAACGTGTTCTTAAACATTGTCGCGAGATTGTTTACATTTAATGGGAAGAATGAACGTCGCTCTGTTTTGTGTATATCTTGTGATTTCTGTATTTGGAATTTCTGAAGCCTGTAAATGTGCTGTTCGACATCCACAGACCATTATCTGCCAATCAGACTATGGTAAAGATGTTATTTTCTTAACCATCAATATAACTTTTATATGTCTTTATTTCGTAACGATTTTTTCTCTGTTAGTTTCCAACATCAATTTTTTGTAAAAATAAAGAGAAGTAGATTTTAGAACACATATTGAAAAAAAAAACAACTAAGATAAAGAAACCTGAATTGGATGCCAAACATCAAAATTCAAGAATTTCTTTTATGACATACCTATTTCTTCCGGTATATTTTTGGTCAGCAATAAAGGCGCAGATTTTGTACGAAAGTCCAGTCAGTTCATGGTACAAGAGGTATAGAGTGAAAGTCCTACACAATTTCAAGGTATACTTTTCCAAAGAAAACATGTTATTGTATTATGAATCATCAACATTTCGAGATCACTTTTGACTACATGTCAAATGGAAGTAATTGGTAATCTAAATGCTTTCTCGTTAAATCTAAGAGTGGTTATGCTCCTCCGATACCTAATTCCGAGGTGTGGATAAAAACTGCGTCCTCGTCAGCAGCCTGCAGTGTAACGTTCCAGAAGAAAACGACCTATGTTATAGCGGGTGAGTATATTTACAAATTATTATTTAACATCGTTAGTCAAAAAAATTATGCAAGATGTAAAAGGATTATGTGAGATTGTATAACATTTATTTAGGAAATTTCTATTATTGCATTTATAATTGTACTTCGCTATTATAAATGTTAAATTCGAGCATTGCACCTTTGCTAAAAATGAATATAGCCGTTTATTCTCGAGACAAATGCAGTGAGTGAACAATACCAACACAAAAATTATTACTTGGAAAAGAGCTACTTTAGGCAATCTGTGTGATGGATTTTTGTCTAAAAGCAAAAAGTACAGAAATTAATCTATTCTTAAAACATTTGCTCGAATTTTGGTACCTCTGTAATATTCTAAAATGAAATACTAGCATTGGAATCAAAATTGAGACGAAAATAATAAATATATTTTTTGTCATGTTATGCACTTATCTCAAAGCTTTGGTCAAAGTTTACTAAAATAAGAGATATGTTAAACTGTACTTTTGTTGAAGATTAAAATCGCACACTCACATCCTGTTTGATATATCCGCAAGTCATATCGTCGTCGATTGATTGATTGATTATTGTTGTTTTACTCCGAGTCGGCAATATTTCAGCCATATTTCGGCGGTAAAGATGACAATATAATTAATCGAAAATCGATAAAACTAATCTTGCAATTGTTACATACACCGCCCCTTACTACTTTTTCTTTATTAAAATACATTCAAAACAATTATCAAACGTATTTTTAAAACATTGCTCTTTCATTCTAGTATTCGTAGATTTAGATAACACACTACATTTAATTGGAATTATCTATCTCCAGTAAAAACAGATTGGTAGAAGACACTTTATCTCAACAATAAGCTTGCGCATGCGTTTCAAAATGACTATGTATTTGGGTGGTTATATATTTGTTTTAATGTCAGAGACAATGAAGATAATCACCTAAAATATATATCAACATAATTGTTTATATATTCCTGTTAATTCTAATGACCAGGGTCTAGAGATAGCGATGGGACACTCAGAGCCAGTAGCTGTTCCTTGAATCGCAAAGTCCAGGATATGACTCCATTTCAGCTATCTGCCTTGAATAACATGGACTATCAAAATAATTGCAACTGTGAGGTATGTTTTGTAATTATTCTGATATTAACTATTGATGTCCTCCCCTTTTGCCTGAGTAATACAGAGAGCTTACGGTGGATTTGACCGGTAGACAGGGTATCTTTACTTCTCGGTTCAATGTTTCAAGGGGTCCGTTTTTTTCCTGTCATCGTTTTGTGTTGTCTATACGATTTATGAGTTTGACCAATGTTTGTTCACAATTTTTGTTAAGCTTCCTACAACTTCCAGATTACAAAATCTCTGATAACGCTCTCTGATAACGCTAAACGCTAACGCATTCTAGTAGGTTCATTAAATTCTTTTTGTAACAAAACGAAATGAAATTTAAAAAGAAGTTAAATTAGTAATCTTTCACTGAGGATTATTTTCAAAGTGAATTTGAATTAACTGTTCGTCTTTGTAGATACGGGAATGCCCTCATAATGTGTGCGAGGTAGGACAAGGATGTCTTGCTCCATACAACAACTCAGACTGCTATCACAGAAATGCGTTGTGTAGAAATTCTGGTTTAACCTGTACATGGACACCGAATTCTTGTTAAAAAAAAGTACATATGTATATATGTATGCTTTTGTAATAAATTAAACAATAACAATTCAGCCTGATGCTAATTGTAATTTTGTTCTGCCCAGCACTGGCTCTGTAAGCCAACATATGTGCCAAAAGTTAATAAATTCTACTACAACCCGTTGGTTTCTAAACGTAGATTTGCCAACGAAGATGTAGATGGTGATAAACATTAGCAACAATCATAATAATAAAAAAAGTTCAGCATTGTTTTCCACCATATTTCAAGTTAACGTCTACACCCTGCTATATTTCCAAACTATTGCTTCGAACCTTTTTAATTATAAAATTACCTTACACTGCCTGGAATTGAAAATCCACAACAATGGTTTTGCTCTTCCTCTTCTTCAAATATATTTCCACTAGATAAGTAATTACTGGTGATGTAAATAGAGTCGAGTATGACAAACTAAAAGCAAAAATTTAAAATATGACCCAACGATAGATTATATCAAAACAAAATCATAACGACATTAGAATTTACAAAATTATGACTTCAAACGTCGTTGTCCCCGTTACAACTTATTTTTCAGTAGTCTGCACCGATTTAAAAATTCATTGTATTCAGATCATTCCCTTAGGTGTCGAATCTGTTGGAAGACGTAAAGCAAGTATGCAGGTGATAGTGGAATATTACTGCATAAAATGTTTCGGATGGAAAAGCTGAAATCATCTCGTTTATCATACAATTAAGTTGTTCGTTGGTTCCTATCATCGATAGTCAGTACAACAAATATGAACAGAAGTGGCAGACTGAGTGGAGTCTTTTATTTCAAGTTCAAGCATTTCAAGCATTATTAGTGCTGATCGTAGTCTAAAAGTTTGTTAGAAGACCTGGTCTCCGAAGACTTCATTAATACTACCAATGAGGAACTACAGCATCCTTTTAATATTTGATAAATATAAAGATTTGAAAGTTAAATTGCCCAATATTGAGAACCGCCGACTTTTGATTTTGGTTGAACACTAGTGATGAAAGAATAAGATGAGAATGAAAGAAAAGTAACTTGTCATGACATGTAAGTTCTGGAATTTTTTGAATTTCTAAAAATGTTACTGTAGTGATTACAAGAAAGAAAGCATTACATTAAGCAAGAAAAATGTGAAGTAAGGACCAGCCTTAATTCAATACTTTTCAGTGAATGCTTGACACGCAAATTTGTGTTTCCGTTTATAATTATTTATTAATATATAGAAGTTCTGGAATCCATGACAAAGCAAGACTTGTCTTTCAGGTCAAATTATTAAAATACAGCTGTTTCTCGTGTAAAAGAAATGGTTTTTGTTTGGTTTTGTGTAAATATGTTTTCTTTTCTATTTACTCTAATGCTCTTTTTTTGCTTACTAGTTACATTTTAATGAAAACATAGCTCTTTTCTGGTCAGATGATACGTTCCTCAGTAATATATAATTTCTCAAAAAAAAGTCATTGAAGTACTGCTACTTTAACAAGTTTCTTAACAGAAATTGAGGTACCTTAGCATTTGTGCTAGATACCAGAGGGTGGTGTTTCCTATGTAATCCTATTTGAAATCACTTGAATTGTCAATATCACAATTCTTGTTGTATTTATTTTTAAAGACATTTTGAAAACAGTTTACAAATTACAAGATAATATTAATATTATGAATATTTCTTATACATTACAAGGAGAAACAAATCAGATATTTGAGGAACGTGTCGTCAGACTTTATATTCACATCTATTTCGTGTCAACCTTATATACTACTATAATGCTGCATTATCTTATTTTTTTCCCTTCAAAAGTATTTTTAATCCTTTAATTTGTGGCTTACCTATAATTCTTAAATGTTTTTTTTTTCTTAAGACAGAATACACATACACATTTTTTTTCTTTCTCTATACTCCCCTCTATTATACATATTTTTTCTGACAAGATGAACAGTAAATAAAACTATGAAGAAACATTATTTGCGTCATGCAAACTTATTATTTTAGAAGCCTTAAAATGAAAAAAAAATGCAATTGTACGGGATGTCCGGTTATGTACAGACCGCAATGCATAGTGTATACAGGAATACATTTCCGTCTATTTAATAAAGTTTCCCGTACATTACACATGTTTCAACATTTCATGAAAGACAAACTTTTGGATTGCGATAACACTCTGCATAAACAATTCGGTCAAAAAAAAAATTTATCAGAAAATGTCATTTTTGGACGAAAAACACTGCTCCACGAATTGTAGTATTAGTTGTTTCACAAATGTTAAACTTACTTGTTCCTGTATAAATTAATGATAAGATCTTTATGAATGTCATGCTTTCTTCTGATGAAAGTGTTTCCTGAATTCAAATTTCTTGTTTATTCTTTTAAATCATTCCTCATTGATTGACCTTTAATCACAAAATTTGAACTTAATGCTCAACAGGAGAAATAATATCAAATACTTAACACAGGCTTACAGAAAAATAGAATTACTTTCCCCGGCTAGGTTATCACTTTGTAAGAAATTAGAGAAAAACCCTTAAACGGACCGGAGTTGTCTGCACAGCAATGAAAACCTGGATAGTTTTGTGTATATTTGCATCCAATATTGGAGTGGTTTACACCTGCACCTGTTTGGGTGTACCAACAAACGGATGTGATTCAGAATATTGTAAGTCTTAACTTTGGCATATTATTTTTATAATATTACATTAATCCAATGAATTAAGTCTCAACAATTTTACAATTTTACAAAACATTAGACAATCAAGGACATCAAACGTGTTACAAGGCCAGTGCAGCAAGAGAAATATATTAATTATTACAGGAACAGATTGCATTATGAAGGAAAAAAATGAAAATTAGGAATTTCTGAGATTAAATCATTTACTATCTTTCTTTTTTCGTAAATGATAACGTTTCTGTCATTTCAAAGTAACGGATGCTTGACAAATGTTCTATTAATATCATTTTAGCCATTCTAGGATTTGTGTTAGGAGAACACATGATCGGATCACCTCCAGATGATGAAATCATATACACTGTTCGAGTACTCCATGTTTATAAGGTGTCTGATTTCTTTTTAAGAAATCTTAAAAATTTAATTTTATCATTTTAACTTGTATTTATTTACAATATTCGAATTCTGTTTTCTCGGGCGTGGTAATATTCAAAGAGGACAATATTCCCATGCCTGGAAAATACTGATGCAAAAATATTATTTAAGGATCACAATCTCTTTTAAAAATCCAGAAGAATTAAAAAAAAAAAAGATGATCGTAATATAGCTGAACAACAATTTCTCCTTTGACAATGAGGGAAAAAATAAGAATTCTAAATTTTAGACGTGAAACAGTTTCATTTTGAGTGAATATATGAAAATATTGATAAAAAAATAATGACACTATCTACTACAGTCCTGCTTGGTTTCAATTATCTATATTAAATTAGGGTACTTATATGTATTTTAAAGATATTTCTGTAAATCATGACTTTTAATATTCAAGCCTTTATTACAATTTACGACAGGCGCCAGGATTTTTTCCAAGGACAGTTCAAATAAGGGCTTATGTAGAGGGATCACTTTGTGGCTTGCGCCTCAGACCAAGACAAGCATACGTCATATCCGGTATCTACTAATGTTGTTTCTCAGCATCAATTTTCATTAATGTTGTAAGAAATATTTTATTTGTTTTGTTTTACGCGTATTTTTTTTCTGAAGGCAGTAAAATAATGAGGGGAGTTATAGTGAACTGCATATTACATAGAAAGAATAATGCTTTTTGTAGGTTTTACAGATGAATTCAGGCTAAGAACAAACGCATGTGCATTCACACGGGCTTGGGATGAGATTCCTACATCAGAGCTGGGGAACCTGTTTTGTCGAAGACCTTAACAAATCCTTTCTCTGCAAACATAAGAGCTTTATCTATACCCTTTATAATTTATTTTTCCTTTTAAAAATGATATCAATATCCTCACATGAGTATAGCAACAACATTAACAATATTTCAAAGAAATATTAAAACACAAGCCACTATCATGAAACTGCATTAGGGTAAAATGAATATAAAAGATAAATTTCACTAGTGTTTATTTAGATGTAGATCTTATTAAACAGCGTTCTTTTAAAATTGCCCTTTATAAATAAAGGATGACTGCACTTAACGCCGTTTTTTTTTTTCTTTCTTTTTTTTTTTTTTTTTTTTTTTTTTTTTTTTTTGTTGCTTCTGTTGCTTTTATTTCTTAACATTATTATGTTGAGCTAACATTTTCAAAATGGGTCTAAAATTATACCAACATGAATAACAATACCATGTATTAAAAAGAATACGTGTTCACTCTTTCAGCATCTCCCTCTCTTTTCCTTATTTCACAAGTACACTATTTACAAAGGTTTCAGCAATATGACTGAATCAATGTCTGACAACTTAACGTGTTCGAACACATTGTCCTAGTTACAACATAACATACTACCTTACACATCACTTAATGACATTTAGTATTTACAGTACCAACCAGACCCAACCTGACACCAAAGCAGTCCCAGAAAGCAGTCCCCGGGACTGCTTTGGGACCGCTCTGGGACTGCTGTGGGACTGCTCTGGGACCGCTGTGGGACTGCTCTGGGACCGCTATGGGACTGCTCTGGGACTGCTGTGGGACTGCTCTAGAAAGCAGACCCAGCAGTCCCAGCAGTCCCTGGGACTGCTTTCTGGGACTGCTTTGTTCACTCATGCGTGAAAAAGGTTATGAGTGACATGATAGCTCCGCCCCTTGCGTATTCTGAATTTGCAGCTCCTTGTTGTTGTTTTGTTTACTTTCTGCAGAGAGGTGTTTAAGATAGAAACAAATATAAAAAAAACAAGTATTAATTTCTTACAAAAATTAAATAAATAGAGATAGTTATACATGTAATTACTAAATGTCTTAAGAGGGCTGTAAATTTACACAATTGTAGTCTAGAATTAATTTTAAGAAAATAAAAGTGGTTAAAAAGGGAAGTCAGGGGATGATTTTTATCCCTTAAATTAAACTTCAATACAGGTGTGTGGAAAAAAAAATTATCGAGGCCTATTTAATAAATTAATGTTTTCAAATTATATATGTACTCAAAGTTTGCATTAGCACTATATAAAAACAAACAAACTTGTCATTTCAGTAAGATACATGTATTTAGAGGAACGTACTGTACTGGATTTTTTTTTTCTTAATTGAAAAAGCTAATACCATGCTTAAAAAAGAGCACTCCATGCTATTTTTTACCACCCTCAAATAAAACCTAGTAATTTATTAAATGACCATAAAATAAAATTTTTCTACCATTCTTCTGTCACATAAACAATGTGAACAATTATTCGGGGATTTATTTATGAGTTAGTTTTTAATTTATAAACAAGTTATTAAAAGAGTACATTTATTTAAAAAAATAAACATTTGAAAATATCGGGAATTGTGACTTATTTCTTATTTCGTTGTTTGTGTTTACCTGGCCGGTTAATAAAGCTGGATTGTATAAAATGGTGTCAACACCTGAGGTTTCAATCGCCTTTGGGCATTAGCAGAAAGTCAATGCATGTTATTTGGGTATCAGTGTTACACATCATTGAACACGCTGGTCAACATTGACACTAACATTCAATCTATGTCCTGCAAAATATCTTAGTTTCAATAATTGTGTAGAAATTTATTTCGGGATTAATTAATTTTGAACAAAATCTGAGGGTTCCATTTGCGTGATTTACAGATGTACACTCGAACATTTATATAATAAAACACTTAAAACTGAGAATCTAAAGATAATTTAATTAAGAAGTCATTGAAAATAATTATGACTGAAATATAATACTCGGCAATGTTTAACAAAGAATTTTTCAAAAGCTCCAATACTTAAGCAAAATGCATTCAGAGTATAGTATGGGAATCGGCCTTGCTCTATAATTATTATTGTCATCTCTCTCGAGAGATGACACATTAAGTTCGTAACCCCGGATATGAAGCCCCAGTGTAAGCTGCCATTGATAAGCTGGTGGTCTGGCAAATGACACGATTTCTAAATATAGAGATGTAAACAATCTGTCAAACAGGCCATCTTAAAAAAGAAAAACTACACATAAATCATAGAGAATCACAGAGACAATATCGCTTGGGTTGTGGTGGGTCTTCAAAATGCATGCAGTTATCTAATCATGGTCAGCGCGTGTGTATCAGAATACACTAAACATGGCATCGATTAGAACGGCCAAGGCGTGGATCAAAGTATTTACAGAAAAACAAAGTGGCGGGTCTTCAAATAGCATGCAGTTATCTAGGCTGTTACGTAAATGATGGCCAGTGCGTTTGTATCAAAGTACACTTTACATGGCATCGATTAGATCAGCCAAGGCGTGGATCTTAGAATTTACAGAAAAACAAAATCAAAGTAAATACTCGCATTAAAAGTTTAAATACGACTGATGTGAATTGATGTAGAAAATTTTACCTTTATGTGTATCTTAGTCATTCAATAACCTGATGCCATTTTAAAAATATATATTTTTTTAAAACAAATAGTTAATGTTAAAACTACAGGCACTGGAAGAAAGATTATATAATCATTGTAAATTTTTACGCATGTCTGCACTATTCTTTATTTTTTGTTCTATAAAAAATAAATGTCAGAAATACAATATTGTTACCTTTGTATAAAAGACGCAATTTCTTTACCCGACTCGTATTTTGAGAATTTATAATTAAAGCATCTGCAATCATTTTCTTTGTGTAATTTTAAATTGCATTGTTGGTTAGTGGCAAAATTCCTATCAAATCACTTCTCTTATTCTTGAAATATTATTATATAAAATGATTGTTTCCTTGAACAGCCTAAATATCAGGGTTGGTAAATTGGTACTCTTGCAGATAATTTGTAAATGCCTAATTTTAGCTTATACCAGTGTAAATTTTATTACTGACCTATATTTAAATGCATGTGAGGGTTATTTCTTTGGATAAACCATATATTTAAAAGTGGAAAATCTTTCGAAATCAATTGAGGGTCAGTGTCGTATAGTGAGACTTCCCCATAGTGAGATTTCCCCGGAAGACTGGCTATATAGTGAGATATACCCCGGGAAGAACTGGTTATATAGTGAGACTTCCCCCCGGAAGATCGACTGGCAATAGAGTGAGGAAGTCTCACTATATAGCCAGTCTCTCCCCCTTTCATAGCGAGACTTCCCCTCAAATGTAGTTTCCGGAATATTTTATTTCATTGTAAAACAATATTTTTCAGGATATGAATAAAAGTTCTCCGTTAATTAATAATTAAAACATCTTAATAGCCTTTTAACAGTTTGTTAGCCAAAAATAATTATGGGATGACATGTACATGTATATTGATGTGAGATAACTGAATGAAACGTTATTGTTACAAGTATACATCTTTCCTTACTGTATTGTATTTATTGCATTCCCCATCAAGGTTAACATAAGCAAATTCCAAGAGTCCACGCTCGAGTAATGATCTATTAAATGTTAAATGTATTTCTTTTGATAAGAATCATTTTGGAAAAATTCAATTATTTACTGTGCACGATAAATTTTTAATGCGCACTTCTATATTTATTCATACATGTATCTATTTTATAAGATCATTATCAAAATGCAAATATATATACATCGTCGATGTAAGTAAAATACTACTGAACATGGAAGGGGGAAGCCTCACTATGGTCGTTTAAGGGGGAAGACTCACTATATAGTAATTCTCCCCCCCCTCCCCCCACCGGGGAGTCTTACCGCTATATATAGCCATATTTCCGGGGGGAAGTCTCACTATGGGGGTGGGAGTCTCACTATATGACACCGGACTAATTCAAGTTAGCGCTTTAAACTTCTTGGCTGTTGTCCGAGTAAGCTGCTGTGATGTAAAGTCAATAGGAACGCTAAGGTTTTACCCATCCTCTTGTATAACAATTGTTTACAAATTTTACGAATACTGCTCAGTGGTTACATTTTTTAAACACATATACAAAAAATATTTGAAATTACTGTTGCAAATGTTTACTGAAAGGCAGCTTGCCTCTACCTTCCCCACATTTTTTTGTTGCAGCATATTCATACATGCATAGAGGGCCCTGAGGAAGACTAGTGCTTTGCACTAATCGGGTTACCCTCTTTAAATAAAGTATTATTATTATTATTATTATTATTATTATTATTATTATACCCCCCCCCCCCCAATGTGTTTTCGAGAGAGTCGAAAAGTTTAAATCTTCCCTCCCATCCACGAAATAAGAATTTCGAGTTTGAACACCCCCTTTTTTTCGTAGTGAAAGATTATTCAGGTAAGTTGTAATTTTTTTTTCTGACTACCCCCCCCCTTTTTTTTGAAAAAAAGTTCTTCTGCTTGTAATCGCTGAGGAAAAAAATGTTACATTCCACTGTTTAATCTGTGCCCCCCCCCCTTTTGAAAAAAGTTCTTCTGCTTGTAATCGCTGAGGAAAAAATGTTACATTCCACTGTTTATTCTGTGCCCCCCCCCCCCCCCCTTTGAAAATAGTTCTTCTGTCTGTAATAGCAGAAGAGAAAATGTTAAATTCCACTGTTTAATCTGTGACATTAATGAAGCCAAAGAGATGACATTTCAGGCTTTCTGGAAAGCCAAACTTGTTATCTATTTAAAGCTAATTCTGGTATAAAATAAACAATTCAAGTTTAATTTTCTATATAAATAAAATAAATATGAAAACCAATATCAATCACAAAAAATAAAGAAATTGGTTTATTTTGGTTAAAAATTAATATACCAAATAATTGTGTTAAAATATTCATGTTATTAATATGTGTGAACGTCTTCTTCATTCAATAATTATAATTTGTTTCTATACGCGTACTGCGATTTTCTTAACAGTTCAG